TATATATATATATATATATATATATATAATGTAAATGTACATGTATATGTATATATGTGGAGTAAACAAAATCATGTCTGTACATTGTATATCTTTTCTATACATCCCTCATTTTTATCGCCTAAATCCGGAACCATTTTGAGACTCGGCTAATCTTATTTCATATCAAAAAATTTCACTTTACAAGATCTTTACAAGATCAAAAAATCTCATATTCAGGTAAACTATAAAGTGTTTCGTAACAAAGACGATTTTATATTCAAGGGGACACAAATTCAAGACTTTTAATTAAGGATGAATAAATACTTATCACTCTAACACATTCTTTATTGATAATTTTGGGCGCAAGTGGTCAACTTATTAACATAATGATCGCTTGAAAACACGCACACGAATTTATTAAAAATTTTAGTCGTAAGTATATAACAAGAACACGTTATTATGTATTCAATCAAAACAAACTATAGTAGGCACATACGCCTTACCTACCATAATACGTATTCTACGTAAAAACATAATATAAATCAGTTCAAATGTATCGTATTCAAATTATCATTTAGAACGATTCTATTTATATTATTCAACTTTATACACATTTATAAAAGTCTACTTGTATACATCTACGTAAAATTAAGTTTTTCCTTTTTAGTTTTCCACTAGATATCCGGAGCTGACGTTAGAGTTTCGACTAAATTCAAATCACGAACTATAGGGCTCATTCGTGGATAACGCTCCAACGAGATTTGTTTATACCCAGGACTCGAACCCGAGACGTAAATAAGATCTCATATATATATATATATATATATATATATATATATATATATATATATACAAAAACATCCTTGGCGCCACTATCAAACAATGTTTCAAAGTAGAATGATTTTGAAGAATCTATGGAAACAAAAGCTTCAAAATTCTCAAAATAATCTGTTGAATTCAAGATTCAAGATTTGTTCTTCTTCTTCGATTTCCACAAAATCATCTAAGCTTAGCAAAATCAAGAAAAGTGAAAACCCGAATTCGAAAAACAAGAATCAACCCCAGAATTTCACTTCACTCTTCAATGAAATCAGAGAGATTTTAGGAACAGAGAGTGTAATGCCATATGAATCCGCAAATTTGAACGATACCCAGTTCGTAAATTTATCGTCCTGCCATGAAAGTGTTCGAGAAAATGCCAAGCAGAGTACAGAGCTGGAGGATTCAGTATCTTGCACAGAACTTGTTTGTGAAAATGCCAAGCTGAGTACAGAGCTGGAGGATTCATCGTCTTGCACGGAACGTGTTCGTGGAAATGCTGAGATGAGGATAGAGCTGAAGGATTCATCATGTGCTTGTGGAGATGTGAAGCAGAGTGTAGAGCTGGAAATGATGAATTTACATGAAGATACTCGGGTTGAGGATTTGGTGAAAAGGGATGTTAGTCCTATTGTTCACAAGATTACGGGGATTTTGAGGAGTGAATGTGATGTGATCGCGATGGAGGAACAGTTGGAAAGTGCAGGTTTTGAGTATAACGAGGATGTCGTTGAGAAGGTTTTGAAGAGGTGTTTTAAAGTTCCTCATTTAGCTTTGAGGTTTTTCGATTGGTTGAAAACAAGAGAAGGGTTTAGTCATACTACGGAGACTTATAACACGATGATTTACATGGCTGCGGACTGTAAGGAGTTCCGTTTGGTTGATGAATTGGTGGAAGAAATGGAGAGGAGTTCTTGTCGGAAAAACCTTAAGACGTGGAGCATTTTGCTATCGCATTATGGGAATGGTAAGTTGATTGGCAAAGCGTTGTCATTGTTTGAACAGTTGAAGAAGTTAGGTTATGAGCCCGATTTAAGGGCTTATACGATCATGTTGAGTTCACTTTGTAATGCTGGAAAAGCGGACATAGCTTTGGAGTACTTCAACGAAATGATCCACAAAGGCTTGATGTTGGATGAAGCTACGTCTGGACAGTTACTCAAATGCTTGGCTAACTCCGGAAATATTGCTGCAGTTCACAAAGTTGGTGACGACATGATAAGGGTTTGTAGTATTCCAGAAAACCACGTCTACAGGCTTATGCTTAAGAGTTTCTGCATCACGGGGAGGATTACAGAAGCTTTGGAATTGATTCGTGATCTGAAAAGTAAAAACATGAACCTTGACTCTGAAATTTTTACGACATTAGTGAAAGGACTGTGCAAGGCTGAGAGGATCAATGATGCATTGGAGATTGTTGAAATTTTGAAGAAAAGAAACGGTGCTGATGAGAAGGTTTATGCAGTCCTTATAAGTGCATACTTGAGGAGAAATGAAATTTCAAAGGCACTTAATCTGTTTCAGAGCATGAAAGATTCGGGAAGTTTGCTCAACGTTTCGACTTATACCAATCTGATGCAGCGCCTTTTCAGGGTTAAAGAGTTTCAAGAAGCGTTGAACCTCTATAATGAGATGACAGAGATGGGAGTTAAATTGGATGCTGTTGCAGCAACTGCTGTAGTTGCCGGTTATATCATCCAAAACCGTATTTCTGAAATGTGGCAAGTGTTTGAGAATATGAAGGATAAAGGAATTGTCTTTACTCGGAAATCGTACCTCATATTTGTCAAGGAACTTACCAAGGTGTCAGGGACAACAGATATTTTCAAGGTTCTGAATGAAATGAAGGCCTCTAAGATGTGTATTGGAAACGATATCTTCCAGTATGTTATTTCGTATCTGGAGAGAAAAGGAGATATGAAGAACATCAACAGGATGAAGCTGCTACAGGGGGGTTGTAAAGTTCACAATCACGAAAATGGAACATGTGATGTGAGCAGTCAACGAGAACGATACTTGGAGTCGAATTATGAAAACCTAGAACAAGTGTCCTCAGCTCATGACATGCCAGAGGCAACTTCAAAATCCTCTATTGAATGTGATGTACGTGAGATTTGCCAAATTTTGATTTCATCGAGGGATTGGTACTTAATACAAGAACAATTGGAGAACTGCAACATACAGTTCACCCCAGAAATCGTCATGGAAGTTTTGCGTAATTTCAAGCTGCAAGGTCGGTTAGCATTGCAATTTTTCTCTTGGGTTGAGAAGCAAAGTAGTTACAGACATACAACGGAATCCTACAACACGGCTATTAAAATAGCAGGACAGGGCAAGGACTTCACTCAGATGAGAAATCTATTCTCCGATATGAGGAGAAATGGTTGTTTAGTAACAGCTCATACCTGGACAATCATGATAATGCTGTATGGGAGAACAGGACTAACCGATATTGCTGTTCGTACTTTTAAAGAAATGAAACACAGCGGTTGTAAACCGACAGAAAGTACCTACAAAGCTCTGATTACATCTCTTTGTCAGAAAAAAGGTAGGAGAATTGATGAAGCAGTAAAAATATTCCAGGAGATGATTCAAGTTGGATACAGTCCTGATAAAGAACTAATCGAAGATTATCTTGGTTGTTTATGTGAACTTGGTAAACTAAGGGATGCCAGAAGCTGTACCGAATCTTTACTAAAGCTCGGTTTCAGTACCCCTTTAGCATACTCATTGTACATTAGATCACTTTGTCGAGCATGGAGGCTGGAAGAGGCTTTAGCATTGATCAACGAAGTTGATGACGAGCAACACGTCTTGAGCCAGTACGTCTACGGAAGTTTAGTCCACGGACTACTACAAAAAGGGAACTTAGAAGAAGCATTAGCAAGAATCGAATCCATGAAGCAGACCGGCATTCATCCAACAGTCCATGTATATACTTCCTTGATTGGCTACTTCTTCAAAGTGAAACAGGTTAGTAAGGCTCTTCAAACTTTCAAAGAAATGAAAGATTCAGGCTGTCAACCAACTATAGTTACCTACTCAGCGTTGATACGAGGGTATATGAACGTGGGAAAAGTTTCCGAGGCTCGGGATGTGTTTCATCAGATGAAAAAGAATGGACCATATCCTGATTTCAATGCATACTCCATGTTCATCTCTTGTCTATGTAGAATTGGTAATTCTGAAGAAGCTCTTCAACTTATATCTGAGATGTTGAATATTGGGATTATTCCAAGTACAGTTAATTATAGAACTGTCTTCTATGGGCTCAATAGAGAAGGTAAACAAGATTTAGCAAAGACTGTATTACATATGAAGTTAGATGTAAAAAGGAGGAGAAAGTTTCTAACTTGATATTTTTTTTTTTGTTCATAATTCTATGATGATCCATCTTTATTTAGTTGTTGCCTTTCTTTCACTTTTTCTTTTTTATTTTCCATTCGGTATCCCGTACTCACATTGGGGTCTGACTGGATTTACGCCAGTAAATCCCACATTGAGGGGTATAACAAATACCGTTATTACCTAATTGATTGTATTATAACCAAAACAACGATCAAGACCATTAAGATAATAGTGACGACAAAATATCACTCCTTTTTGTTTCATTGTATGTAAACTCGTTTTAGATGGAAAGACGTACTTTAAAATTTATGGTCTTGAACATGTCAAAGAGATTTGTGTGACTATATATAATCATGTCCTTTAGCGTAAAATAGAAAATTTAAAATTACTCCCTCCGATCCTTTTTAGTTGTCATAATTTCATTTTTGAGTCAAACGATATGAATTTTGGCTAACATTTTGAGATTTATATTTTTCATTATATTGATTTGAAAAAAGTTTCAATTATTTGAATTTACTTATTCATTTTACAGAAAGAATTAGGAGTATATGCATCATATATAAATATAATATCAAATTTTAAAAGGAAAATTTTCTTTCATTTTGATATGATATCATTGAATAAAAAAACTATTTCAGCTACCACAAAATATAAGAATCTTCACTTAAATAGTCGGATAGATTTACTATTACTTACTTTTACCACAAGAAAAAGAAAATACTACGCTTTTCGAGAGAGAAACTTTTTAAATATAAATTAAATTACATTCATTTGATATTTTAAAATAAAATTTTAGATTTTCAAAAACATGAAGGCATACTACAAGATAACATTTTATAACTCCCTCCAAATACACAAATAACATCGCATTTATCTATAATCACAAACAATTATAATTACAGTACACTATAAGCATAAATCAATTAATGAAAATTCTAAAATCAGTATTTCAAAGAAATCAACTTCCTCCTTTTCATAGCCCATGAATTTCTGTTAGCACTCCTTACGGAGATAGTAATCTTCATATATCATCCAACGAATGTCGAATATTGCATGTAAATTGATATGACAATTATTCAATTCCAACATGTATCAACACTACATGTTTCTCCATTTCCCATTTTCTTTAGTTCACGCAAAAAGAAAAATTTAAGAGAAAAGAAAGAAAGTTAGAAGAAAGGTCAGATGCTCAACTAAAGAAACAAAATTTGAAGGAAACGAAAATCATTCGTTACCTTTATATAGTGTTTATTTTTTTCATGCTCTTTGAAATTTCTTTTGACATAATACTAATTAACCTACATTTAAATACTTAATGAATTATATTAACAAAGATTGATTACTAATTTAAAAGTGTTAGAATTTGATAAGTCAAGTTAAGAAAATGAGAAGACAAATTATAGGAGTTGTAAGAGTTTGGTAAAGTAATACATAATGTGTTAATTTAAAGAAATTAATCATGTATGACTCTGGGCATTGAAGAACCATTTTTTCACTTCCAAATCCCGTCCAATTTATGTAATTGAAAAATTAATTAAGGCGTGCAAAATATCATTATTAATAATAATAAATAATTCAATTTTAAGAAATTAATACATATTAAATGTTGTATTTATAGGTTGCATAAAAATTCGGTTATGAATACATTTATATATTAGAGAAACCTTATTGAGAATTCTTATATTTGACTAATTAAATATTTTATAACATTTTAACTTATCATAGGGGTAAAATGGTAATCCAATTTTGAAGTTAAAAGCTTTTCACTTTTAATAATAATAATAATAATAATACATAGAAATTAATCTAAGAAAATTCAAAAGTCATTACTATTTTAATTACATATTAAATATTGTATTTATAGGTCGCATAAAAATACGGTTATGAATACAAATATATTAGAGAAATTTTTTTGAGAATTCTAATAGTTGACAAATTAAATATTTTGTAACATTTTAACTTATCATAGGAATAAAATGGTAATTCAATTCTGAAGTTAAAAGATTTTCACTTTTAATTATTATTATTATTATTATTATTATTATTATAATAATAATAATATATAGAAATTAATCTAAGAAAATTCAAAAGTCATTACTATTTTGATTAAACTTATTATAACATTTTAATTTATAGGAGGGTAAAACCGTAATTCAACTTTTGACTTGAGTTTTTCCCACTTATAACAATAATAATAAATGTTATATAATATGATGAAAAATAATAAGTCCTGGTGTAGCAAGTTCAATACCCTCACATAACACTAAGTTACTGGGAAAACCATCAGCTTGATGGATGTTTTACCAAATGATAATAAATCAAAGATGAAAGTTCAAGTTTCCATACCCAGAAACTAGAGCTTTCTCACTATCTCTTCGTTTGCGCGCTTGTAGTAAGTCATCCTTCGAATTGCAGCCAGAGCTTCTTCATACTTTCTACTTTGTAAGGCGTCTGCAAAAGAGTTGGATGATTGTTCGAACTTTCCTTGTATCTGCAAAACAATGAAGAGCGGCCACAGATAGCAGTAATTCATTTCACACAGTAAAAGTTTGAGATGGCTTTTACAACGAAAGTTCGTCTAGCAGAGAGTGGGAATAATTACAGAACTGATATACCATGATATCAAGATAATGTCAGTCAGCATCAATTGCTTGATAACACTGTGGAGGAGGCATCCGATACGCACCAGAATTAGCCCACGCAACTGACCCCCAGATTGCACCCAGCGCAATGAAAAAGTGGAGGAGAAAGGAAAGGGAAAAGCGGGAAAATAATTTCTATAACAGCTAGTAGAACAGTTGGGAATCTGCGCAGAATTCAAACAGGTTTGCTGTAAAAGCTTATACTACTGGCGTCCTTTTATACCTGCCCCTGAATTTGTTTAAGTTCCTGTGAGTCATTAGCTTCGTCAACAGTTTCTCTGATTTCCAGCATCTGCAAGTGAAATATTTGATGACTAATAGTCAGAGAAGATGAATTTAGGCAAGCCACTGAGGAGGAGCTAAGCTAAACACCTTTACAAATATCAAACAAAATAACATACCATTTTTCTTTAGTAAACATTACATCTAAATGCTAATAATTGTTAAACCCCACAAAGGAAGAACTCCAAATCATAGATAGCGTAACAAACTCATACCAAGACAGCATAATCGTGTAAGCCAATTGGTTGAATGTGTGGTCAAATCATTTTTCATACTACTTTTGAGCCGATGGTCTATCGGAAGAAGTCTCCTACCCCACAAAGGTAGGAGTAAGGTCCACCATACATCCTATGGGTATGTCGTTATCAGTTTTCATGTTACAGGCATCGACTGTCAATTTCTAAATCTTACATAAAAGGCCAACATGTCCAAGAAACAACTGGCAGCAGCACTTATCAAAAAGTAATTCCAACATAACAAATTTTACCTCAGTCAGCAACTCTACGTCATCAATCTTCTCCTCTTCATCCACATGCACGCCTTCCAACTTCAGCTGGAAGCCAGGACAAAACGTTAAGAAGAAAACGACAGGACTTGGTAGACCACAATCTGCAACTTCTATTACTTTTCATCCTACTATCTTTCCTTAAGTTGCAATTATATTATTGAGTTTTTCTTTATTTTAAACACTTCAGTGCAGATATTTCAGATCTTCATTCTGAAGGAAAAAGGAAGAAAAGAAAACGGAGGAAACCAAATGTAATGGGCCAAAGTAGTCAGCTTTTCATCTCTGGCAATTCTCTAGAAGAAACAAAAACTCATATGTCGGAAGATAAATATGTATAAAACATTAGCCTTTATACTATTTTTTTGTCCTTACAGTTTGTTAAGCATATTTCAGCCTAAAAAGGGGGGAAAATAGGACTTATCATAGGAGTTATCTTCTGTCAAATGTCTCTTGCACATATAAATCATCGCAGAGATACAGAATATGTTCTGAACAAGTGATGATCACCAATGAAAAAACGGAACTACTATAGCAACAAGTATGTAATGGTAACCTACAATGTATATTGCCCTTGACAATGGATCAGTTAGTGTGCGGTAAGCATCAATGACACGAGCAGATTGTTCAGCAGCATACTCCCTTTCTTTCTAGCAGAAACAGCAAAAAGCCACAGTAAAACAATATCAAAATTTAGGTGGAAGGGAAGCGCCAAAGGAATTATCAAAAGGAAGATTTAGTATAAATGAGTACAATAAAATTTTATGAACCTGAGATTTCGTGTGAACCAAGTCCGGATGTAGCTTCCTCTGCCAGTCTTTATACTTGCGCTCTAGATTCTCCCCCTCAATTTCATACTTCTTCTCCCTGCAAAAATGAAGAGAATCTTTAGCATGTCAATAAGCTAAAGATGAAAGAAAGATAAGAACTGACATAAATATATTTAAATACATATGTTTCACAAGATATTACTATAACCTTATATCCCAACAATGGGTATGAATTGATATACTTATTCCATGCAGATCCTTCGAGTACACTGCTAATGATTTAAATAAGCGATATCTGATACTTATCCCTACCTTATTTGTTACAGAGTTAAGAACAGAGTCAATTATCATGAACTATCTTAAAGTCTAAATCAATTACACTAAACTCTAGAACCTCCAAGTCAGGGGCTAATGAACAGTAGAAGTTACAGGGTCGAACCCAGTAGCTTTGCTTCAGATCAAGTATATACTAAACGCGTACAAGTTTCGAACCCAGTAACTCAAATGGTCAGTGGCTTCAGTGGTATACCGAACCCATAAAGTTCAAATATTGGATTCACCTTTGCTCTAAATAGTAAAAAGAAGAAAGAATCCAAGCATGAACTAACAATCTACCCAGTACAGCCACATTCACTTCACTGTACCTCCTTTTGTACAAGTTAAGGACCAGCGGCGGAGCTAGCAAGGGCCGAGAGGTTCATCCGAACCCCCGCGGAAAATTACACCGTTTATACATGGCTAAAATTATTTTTTTATGTATATATAGTATACATTGAACCCCCTTTGGCCTCTCCGTGTGATTAGTTTTTATATTTTGAAACCCCTTAATGAAAATCCTAGCACCGCCATGGCTAAGAACCTCCAAGTCAGGGGAGAATGCACAGAAGAAGCTACAGTTACAGCTGAACACAATATCATTGATTCAAATGATGTACAAGTATTAATAATTCTACTAAACATGTACACATATCAACTTTCAAACCCACTAACTAAAATGGTTAGTAATTTACCCCGAACACATAAAGTTCAAATCTTGGATTCGCTTTTTCTCCGAATACTAAAAAAAAAAAACAATCCTAGCATGAACTAACAATATACCCAATACAAACTACATTCACTGTACCACCATTCATACAAGCTAAAAACCTCCAAGTCAGGAGCGAATGCGCAGTACAAGCTACGGGTTCAGCGCACACAATAGCTTCCATTCAAATGATGTACAAGTATTAATCATTCTACTAAACATGTACAAATGTCAACTTTCAAAACCCGCTAACTAAAATGGTTAGTAATTTACCCCGAACACATAAAGTTCAAATCTTGGATTCGTTTTTCCTCCGAATACTAAAAAAATAAACAATCCTAGCATGAACTAACAATATACCCAATACGAACTACATTCACTGTACCACCATTCATACAAGCTAATAACCTCCAAGTCAGGAGCGAATGCACAGTACAAGATACGGATTCAGCTGCACACAATAGCTTCGATTCAAATAATGTACAAGTATCAATAATTCTACTAAACATGTACAAATATCAACTAAAATGGCTAGTGGTTTACACCGAACACATAAAGTTCAAATCTTGGATCCGCCTTTTCCTCCAAATACTAAAAAAAACAATATACCAATACAAACTACATTCACAGTACCACCATTACACAGGGTTCATCCTAACACAATAACTTTGATTCAAATCATACATATATGTAAATAATTCTACTACGAATACCAAATTTCAAACTCAGTAACACAACTTACAGTCCAAAAATCTGGAAATAATCAACAGATTGATCTACAGGTTGTACACAGCCACAAGCATTGCAAACAAGAAACGGCGTCGTATTTGAAGAAACCCCATTACAACAATTCCAGCAAGAAAATTTTTGAGCAGCTTCAGAGCTAAAAAGGGTTCTCCCAGAAAAACCCAAATCGTTTCTAAGAAAATTAAGCTTTCTAGATTGTATAAATTGAGGAAATTTCTCAACTTTTGGAGAAATTGATGGAAAATCGAATTGGGTTTTAGAAGAAATCACTATTTCTTTTCTTCCCAATAATAATCTTTGTAAAAAGGGTGTTGAAATTCTCAGCTTCTTCATCAACATTTTGTTTTTCTTGGAGAAATTGATAGAAGAAGGTACTGTAATCTTCAGTTTGTGTAGTATGTAATTTGTAATAAGCAAATAAGTTCGATAGGAACTAAGTTATGCTATCAAAGATACGATAACAAGGTTGTATATCATGATGGAGTCGTGGGGTGATCTCGAATTCGAATATTGAGTTTTACTTTTTAAAAATATCGATGAATTCTTCTTTTATAAATATTCACATAAAGTTTCACCGATATTACATATTATCATGATTGGATAGAGGTTAAGGGTTGAGTTGTGGTTTGAGTTTTAGGTCAAAGTTGGGTTGAGTCCATCGTTGGGGTTGGGTCGAGTCGCAAGTAGACGTTAGGGGTTGAGTATCGTATTGGGGTGATCGACAGGTCTACGTCGAGGTAATGGTTGAGTCTTGAATTAAGTTTGAGTTGAGGTCAGGGTTATTAGTTCTCGAATCAAGGTTAAGCCGAGGTTTAGATTTTATGTTTGAGGTCGGGGGTGGGGTCTTAGGTAAAGGTCAAGTTTCTAATCATGGGGGTGGGGTCGAGTCCCAAGTTAATGTCAGGTCAAAAGTCGAGATTGAGATTAGTCCCAAACAATCAAGGTTGAGTCCTGAATTATAGTCAGGGTGAGGTTAAGTAAGGTTCAAGTTACGTGTTGAGTTTGATTTGGGGATCGAGACTTGGGTCCGATTTGAAAGTCGGGTTTGATTCTGTTGACACCAAATTTTGGTTTGATGTTTTTAAAGTTAATATTTTCAAGTATTTTGTTTTATAAATAGTTTAAAATACATGTTTTGTCATTTTTATGTAATGTGTTAATAATTATTCTTTTTCTTAAAGTATTAGGATTTTTATCAGAGACGTTCAAGTATTTGTTCATTTTTTATGAAATTATTATTTCTGTTAAATTACATTTTTTACATGTCATTGGTTACGTTCATTACATTTTTCTATATTCATTTTCTCTGTTACATCTGTTGATACTTATTTTGATATTTTTGCACAATCCAGAAATTCATACACAGAAATTGTATTAACCGGTGATTTTGACCCACGATTTTAAGATAGCGAATTATACAATGGATAGTTTTCAACTCCCTATATATAGAATAGTTGATCAATTAGGTTAAAGGTGATGGATAAAAATTCGAGATATTTTCAAATTTTTAGGATTTCAAAGATTTTTTGTTGTTCATTATTTTTTCGATGACAAATCACCGGAGTTCCGCAACCATGGTGAACTTAGTTTATCAATATTTATCTTAGTTTTGATTATGAATAATTGAAATTGCATGTCTTAATGTGTGAGTAAATTTTTACTCAACACTTAATTAGCACCACTTATGTTTATTTTTAACAATAGAATTTCATCTAATATACTAAGATTTTAAATTAAATTACTTAAATTTCCATATTGATTAACAAATCTTTTGACAGCAATATCTAAGATAACCCATTAAAACAAATGTTAACATTTTGTTAACTTGAACTAACCATTATCAATAATATATGTTACTAGTAGATATTTGTTATGAAGCTATTAAATATTTTATATTATATAAACAATACTATAGCAATAAACTAAAAATATCAACTTGAAAAGATTATAGTAGTATTACTTATAACTTAAGCAGATAACATCAAATGAACAGCAAAACTTTAAATTAACTATATTAAATGATCTAATTTATACTTTGAGCATGTATCCTATAAAATATTTCTGGAACAGAAATGTTCAACAAGTTACGATGTTTTAACATTTGTATATCTCTACTTCTTACATATTTTGGAAATAATGTTATAACTTTTCAGATATATTTATTAGATTTATAAATAAATAACAATAAGAATAAAAACAAGTTGAACATTCGTAGATAACAATCCACAGAAACTTCAATTGTAAAATGATATGAGAGAATATCATTGAAAATTTTTCTATTATTAAAATAGAAAATTATCAAATGAGTTCTCAATCTATAATCGAATTTTCAACTACACACGTATATCTTACGAACAATCTTATTATTATAATAGCGTTTTATCTATATATATCAGGCTTAAATTTTATACACCAGATAAATAACTTTTATGTGTAACTTGCAAAATACTATTTATTAGGACTTTAATATTGTAATAGTAGAATTGTAGAATGTTTACCAAAAACTTGAAGAATGAATTATAGGTGACAAAAAAGTGTTGAAATCTAAAAAGAGTGGCTCTAGTTTAAATTATTAAAAATAGGTGACAATTTTTTAATCAATTTTGAAAAATAATTAAATAGGTTCTCAAGTTTTTATTTTTACACTTTTACTCGAATTTAATTAAAACCCTAATTTCTAAAATAAGGAAAATCCCCAAATCAGTTTTTTTTCTCTCCCAATGTCATGCTCTTTTCACATTTTTTTCTTTTAATCTTCATCACTAAATTATTAAGAATAGGTGACAAATTTTTAATTAATTATTAAAAATAATTAAATAACTCCTCAAGTTTTTAAAATTACACACTTTTACCCAAATTTAATCAAAAAAACTAATTTATAAAAGGGTAGGAAAACCCCCAAATCAGTTTTTTTTTTTCTCTTCCAACGTCCTGCTCTTTTGATCCAGATACCTGACGAAATGAACAAATAAAAAATCGAAATAGCCTGGATGACCTATTTTGCATTTTTTTTGCTTCTAATTCTTCTTCTTTTATATTAGAATTTGAAAATTTTGAGAAGGGAAAATCTCCAATTTTAATTTAACATGTGATTTAAAAGGTCTAAGCATTTTAGGAATTACTTTTTAACTTACAATTTTCAATCATTTTAACAAGTTAATAGGTATTGTTTGTGTGTATTATTCATTTAAAAATTTGATTTTTGTATTATTGTTCTTGCTACTGATATATAATAAGTTTCAATAACTAATATCACTATTTCAGTAATTTACAAGAATTGCTAAATGTTGTTGCTGAATAAATTGTCGTTATATCTATTTCAGCCGTTGCTGAATAACTTACAACAATTGTGATATTTCAATATAATTTGTTTTATGATTGCAATATTTTTGTTCTAAGTTGTAATATTTTCAGGTTTCTTCAACATCATTAATGCGAGATTGAATATTAATACTAGTTGATTGTAACGGCGAATGAGTTGAGTCTAACGATTGTTATATTTGGGATGATTGTGCATCGAGATATCACATGTGATGATTTTGCGAATAAAAACATACTTTTTATTAATCAGACTGTGAGTTGGAAGACTTGTACTTGTAGAGAATTTCAGCAATTGCAATAAAAAAGAAATACAACTTGTTTAATTGTTTTTAAGAAAATTTCAGCAACTGCTCTTAAAAGTATAACAATTTACTTATTTGTTGTTGCAAATTCAAATAAAATTACTAGATTTTCGTTTAAAATTAGTCGAACCCATCCTATTTATCATTAAATATGATTACTATAACTAATTAACAATCAATTTAGATTGATTACATGTGAAATTACTTAATTGAACGTTTGATATCTCAGATTACTATCTTTTTGCGTAAAATTACTATCAAATCTACAAGTGGACGAAGATCACTCTATTTATCATTACATATAAGTATTATAACCAATAAACGATCATTTACTCATTATGAATTGCTTACCTATGAAATTGTAACGAAATTGATCGTCTAATATTTTAAATAACTATCTCATTATACAAGATCACTATCTAATCTAAATTTTATTTTTAAATTAAATCAACACTGCTCTATTTATCGTTAAATACGAGTGTTACAACCAATAAAGGCTTTTCAAGTTGTTGTTTCTCAGATACTTGTGGTATTGTCACCATCATGTTTAACATTACATTATTATAAATATGAGCAAGGTGAGTTAAATTATGTTGTACAAAACTATATTGCTCGGACTCTTACGAAAAAAATATGTCTAATCCTACAAAAGATATGCAAATTTTGAAGGATCTGACGCAGATGCTACAACATCTTTGGAAGGTTCGAGCAACACAGGTACACAGAACACACACTCTGGTATTAACCCTTAAATTACATAAGAATTTTACATCTGTAGTAACAAGTAAACTATAGCTGCATTCTCCTGTGAACAAAAATGCTCTTTTTAACTCTTGACTTGTCCTGGTTTGAAATTCAAGCAGCAGTAAAATGGTAGTTTTCGTTTTTGTTTTCGTTTTCTTATACCATTCTTTTTTCCATGGATAGACGCGACATTTTCTTCCTTCATTTGGTCTACATGTACAGCAACGTGTTGTGTCTCGCCTAAGATTATTTCAACATAATCATCCGGTGATGCAGGAGCAATCTTCGTGTTGTGGTTAGCTTCCCTCGTGCACAAACTAGAACTTATACGCCTGGAGAAAAAAGTTACGTCAAGTTTGAGAGAAACTCATCTAGTATATGAACGAAGGCGTTATCATAGGAAATGCATTGTCACAAAGATTAAGTGCTCTCGGAATCTATGTTGCTTGGACACTCCACAGAAATGTAGGTGCACCCATGTCGTATCCTCCAAAAAGGATAGGTTTTGGAGGATTGACACAAATACTGTAGACAATACTTTTGAAGAGTCCGAGCAACCTTTTTTTTGTCATATATAAGTCAAACTTCAAGATTTTCTATGGTAAAGAAGTTGTAGAAGTCTCTAAATGGCTAGCATGTTTTGCAAATAAATATACTCCCTCGGTTTCAATTTGTTTGTCTTTCTTACTTTTTTGGTCTGTTTAAAAAGAATGTCTCTATCCCTTTTTTGGCAATTCTTCAATTCTAACTTTCCACGTTAAATGTTTAATAATACAAGATAGAAGGTATTTTGATACATTCTACATATTTTTAGTTTAGAACCATACTATCCAAAAGTCTTCTTTACTTCCTTAAATTTGTGTCAAATCAAAACCAGACAAAAACAATTAAAACGGAGGGAGTATTTAATTTCTCTAAAACCAATGTAACACGAATGATGTATTATAGCCTCTTGCTATTAAGCAAACAAAATTTTACCTGGAACCATGACTAGCGGAGCTGTTCCTGTGTTCGTAACGTGTCGCCTCTGATAATTCTTTTCCGGGTGATTCAGCGCAAGCTATGCGAGTTCCATGAATTTGATCAGTTTCTGATGATTTTGAGTCTTTCCGTCCATCCTCTGCTACACCTAAAGACTTAACAGTAGTGTTTCCGGAAACAGATCTAATTTCCAAATTATATCCAAAATCCCTTATGATAGAAATAGCCTTCTCCAAAGTTCCCAGAGCTTGTCGAACCTCAGATCTAATCACGACCATCTTGTTGTTGGCAGGCACATCTACAAGTCGATTATCTGGAGAATCCCTGACTTTCTCGTCATTCTCATCTAAACTTTCAATCATTTCACTTGTGTCTTCA